TCTTTCTTTCTTTCTTTCTTTCTTTCTTTCTTTCTTTCTTTCTTTCTTTCTTTCTCCCTCTTTTCTCTCTCTTTCATTCTTTCTCTTTTTCTTTCTCCCTCTTTTTTTCTCTTTCTCTTTCATTCTTTCTTTTTCTTTCTCTCTCTCTCTCTCGCTCTCTCTCTCCCTGGCTTTTTCCCCCTGCTGACCCCCCCCCCAGCACGCCCCCTGGAGAAGGCAGCTCTTCCCAGCTCCTTCCCTTTTGGAGTGGGGGGGCCGGATCCAGGAGCAGGTTGGCTCTGGGAGGGCCCGACCCCCCAGCTTGCTGTCGCAGAAGCGGTGCCCAGAAAAAAAGGGGGTTCTGTGGAAGGGTCCTCTCCTGTTAAGGCCGTCCCTGCTTTTGAATCCTGGCAATGGAATTAACCCTCGCGCCCCCCACCCCACCCAGGAAGGGATCAAGGGGAGATGCCCCTCCACCTGCAGGGAGGCTGGCCTGTGGGTTGGGGGGGGGGCTGAGCACATTTGGTTTGTAAGACATCTGCAGGAGAGCAAACTCGGCAACGGTCGACATCCGTGGAGTGATCAGCACAATGTTGGCTGGCATTGATTTAATTTGGGACTCTGTTTTTTGGGGGTGGGGGGGTGGGGTGGAGGTGGGGGGGGTCGAAGCTCATTCAGAAGGGACATTTTTAAAATAGAGCGTTTAAGAGTCTCCGCCCCGGCAAACGAGGCTGGCGGTCTCTGGTCGGGGGCTTCTCTTCAAGTGCTTGTGGGGGGAGGCGGGGGGTGCATCGGTCTGAGCCATGGCTGGCCTGTCTGTTGAACAATGTCAGAGCATTTTTTTTTTAATTTTTATCGTTTTTGGAGCAAGGGGAATTGCATTGCCATAATAAACATTTGTGAAATCAAGAGTCCTCTTTTGTCCTTTGAAGGGGAAGTTGATAACGGAAGGGGGGGGGGTCAATTGTTTTGTTCTTTCGCGCTCACCTGGACAGGTGTCAATGCTGCTAACATCGGATGTTCTTGCTTGACAACATATGAAGATGCAGACATTTTCTATTTAACCTGTGTATTTCTTTTAGAGCAGTGGTTCTCAACCTGTGGATCGGGACCCCATTTGGGGTCGATCGACCATTTCACAGGGGTCACCAAGCAAGGCTGTCCGCCATTTTTTTGTCCGCCATTTTTTTCCCCTTTTCCGGCGGGTGCCTTACCTCCAGCTGGTGGTCGGCCTGCTCCGTCTCTGCCGCTTGCCAGCTACGCCTCGGCCGGCGCAGGGGGCGGAACCACGCATGCGCGGCACTCCCGGGCAGGGAAAGTCCTTGACTTACGACCGGTTTAGTCCTTGACTTACGACCGGTTGGGGTCGCGGCATTAAAAAGGTTGAGAACAACTGTTTTAGAGTAAAACTTAGATGGTGCTGGAAGGGAGGAGGGGGGGAAAGAATGTGCTTGGGGACTAGTTAGCCATAACAATAATTCAGTAGCCTATTCTTCAAGGCTAGTTGTAATAAGAGGAGATACGTGCTGGGGGTTATGGAACGGGAGGGAAAGTTCATACTTCAAACCAATTGGAGAATGTGATTAAGGACTGTTAAATGAAGGAGTGAGTTATGCCTAGAATATTGTTATGTTGGAGGAGAATCCCAGATTTTGGCTTGATGTCATGGTTCCAAAAGAAGAAGCTCTTCAAAGAACTTTGAGGCACTATTTACCTTAAAGCAGTGGTTCTCAACCTGTGGGTCGGGACCGCATTTGGGGTCGATCGACCATTTCACGGGGGTCGCCAAGCAAGGCTGTCCGCCATTTTTTTCCCCTTTTCCGGCGGGTGCCTTACCTCCCTTGGGCTGGGCCAGCTGGTGGTCGGCCTGCTCTGTCTGCCGCTTGCCAGCTACGCCTCAACCGGCGCAGGGGGCGGAACCACGCATGCGCGGCGCTCCCGGGCAGGGAAAGTCCTCGACTTACGACCGGTTGGGTAGTCCTCGACTTACGACCAGTTTAGTCCTCGACTTACGACCGGTTTAGTCCTCGACTTATGACCAGTTGGGGTCGCGGCATTAAAAAGGTTGAGAACCACTGCCTTAAAGAATTTAATGTAAATCAGGGGTAGTCAACCTTGGCTCTTTTATGACTCGTGGACTTTCAACTCCTGGCTGGCTCAGGAATTCTGGGAGTTGAAGTCCACGAGTCATAAAAGAGCCAAGGTTGACCACCCCTGATGTAAATAATGCCTCAAAGTTCTTTGAAGAGCTGCTTCTTTCGGAACCATGACATCAGGTATAGAAGGAGCACCTGCCGGGCTCCAGGGGGGCGGGTCCTGCCCAGCCTGCTTCCTGGTCTGTGGAGAAGCTGCTTTTCAGGTGGAGCAAAACGAACCCCACGCTGCGCTGGTGGGGCAGGGAAGACTTGCGAGGAAGAGAACCTGCCAGCCATTGTTCAGGGATCCACGGAGCTTTCGAGCCACCCCTTTCGTGGCCTGATGGCTTTAGGAAATGGAAAGTTAACATTAACCCACCTGTAGGATCCTTGGTGCTCTCTTGGGTTTGGTGGTTTTCTCGCAGACGTTTCATCACCAAACTAGGTAACAACATCAGTGTTAGCGCTGGGGGTGATAGCCCTGATGTTACCTATTTGTGTAAGGAAACACCTGCGAGAAAACCACCCAGCTCAGAGAGCACCAAGCACCCCACAGTCCGACTCTTGAGTTACAAATAATTCTGTCAATCAACCCGTCTTTTTCTTTGAAA